GTTTGCAAGAGTAGGGGTGTTCATCACAGAATCCTGTCAAAATTCCAGTGTAGGGAACTACATTCTGCTTCCTCTGTTTATTTGACCTGGAATACTGAAATTTCATTTCCCCTATTAAAAAAAATCTGTGAATTGTTGCTGGAGTGGGATGGTGGTTGCACTCTACCATAGAGGTGGTTGAATTAGACTGGTGGGTTAATTTTTCTCTGTAAATATGACATCCTACAATGCCTTGATTCTTTTGAAAATCATTACATATATAATATCATACATATATATGATAATACAATTCATTATTTTCATTCAAAGCTATGTGGGTAAAAAGCATTGGCAAAAATGTGTTAAAGCTATTTTCTTATATTTTGAATGTGTGGTCATTTTGTTACAAATACCTATAAAAAGTGACATCTAGTAACTAGTGTAGATTGACAAAAAGTAATGATGCTTATGAATGCTAATTAGCATATTTGCATGTTAAAGTTTGGGAGACAGAAATAAATCACATTCAATTACAAGAGCAAAGTATATCATGCTTTATAATTCTTAACATTTCTGGGAGCTACCACGTAAAAAGTCAGTGTCTGTCTGGTATACTCTTGATAGTCTGTTTTTCTAAAGCATGAGTAGGTTTTTTCAACAAAAAAGGACAAATTAAAATGCTCCACTTCTTAGGATAAGTTTTTGTTAACAGCAGAATCAGATATTTGGAAATAGTGCTTTCCATTGCTCCCTTACTTACAAAGTGCAGAGGTTGACAGACCTATATAAAAGTTTTCAAATTAAACTAAAGTGATTTTCATCAATTATCTATAAAATATGTATTTTGCTTTTCTGATATTTTCAGTGTCACATTAATAATATTTATATTGAAATATAAGGGGTGAACTCTGTGGAAACAGTTCACTTTAGCCTCAAAGGACAACAGTATTATTATTTAGCATTTAATTTATAGTTCTGTGGGTTTTTTTTAACCATTTATTAGAGAGATATATGAGACTGTATGCATATATTTATGTAGGAACAGTCCTATAAAACGTCTCAGACCTCTGAAGTGTATTCTTCTCAGACCTTCAAAATGTATTCAAGGTTTAAAATGAACATTGCTGTAACAATCTTTATGTTTACAGTAAAGATTTCTGATTAAACAAATAAAATGTGTGTGTGACGTTGCACTCCATATGTTTTATGGAAATATGCTTATGAGTGTGAATATGATGTTGTGATGGGTTGGATCACAGAAACCCCCTGGGGCCTGCCAACTGATGTGCCAAGACTACTTCTGCCCTTGCTTTCCCTACCCTCCCAGCTCGGGACTTCAGTGCCCTGCCTGGTTTGAGCCAGACCCGCTAGCCTGCTGCAAACCCAGACCCAGGTCTGAACCACATCCCCTAACAGCTGTCGGATTAAACTGAAAGCAGCTTAAGAAGTGTTCCTGTCTTTAACGCTCAGATGCCCAACTCCCAATGGGGTCCAAACCCAAAATAAATCCGTTTTACCTTGTATAAAGCGTATAGAGGGTAATCTCATAAATTGTTCGCCCTCTATAACACTGATAGAGAGATATGCACAGCTGTTTACCCTCCCCCCCAGGTATTAATACATACTCTGGGTTAATTAATAAGTAAAAAGTGATTTTACTAAATACAGAAAGTAGGATTTAAGTGGTTCCAAGTAGTAACATACAGAACAAAGTGAAATACCAAGCAAAATAAAATAGAACACGCAAGTCTGTGTCTAAGAAAACTGAATACAGATAAAACCTCACCCTCAGAGGAATTCCAGTAAGCTTCCTTTTACAGACTAGTCTCCTTCTAGTCTGGGTCCAGCAATCACTGGTAAACTGTAGTTACTGTTCTTTGTTCCAGTTTCTTTCAGGTATCCCTGGGGGTGGAGAGGCTCTCCTTTTAGCCAGCTGAAGACAAAATGGAGGGGTCTCCCATAGGCTTAAATGGGCTCTCTCTTGTGGGTGCAGACCCCCTCTTCTCTCCTATGCAAAGTCCAGCTTCAAGATGGAGTTTTGGAGTCACATGGGCAAGTCACATGTCCATGCATGACTCAGAACTTACAGGTAGCAGCCATGGCTCACATGCTAGCTTGAACGTCCTCATGTAGACTTCTTATGTGGATTGGAGCCTTCCAAGATCCATTGTCCATTAATTGCTTATTGATTCGGTATTTAAGTTGCACATTCCTTTCTCAAGAAGCTGACCAAATGCTTTACTAAGGCTACTTAAAATCAAGCAAGTACACAGCCAATATTCATAACTTCGAATACAAAAATGATACATACATAAAAGTAGGATGAATAGATTCAGTAAATCATAACCTTTACACAGATATGTTACATGGCATATGTAGCATAAAACATATTCCACTTATGTCACATATATATATTCATAAGCATATTTCCATAGAGCCTTATGGGGAGCACCGTCACAGATGTAACTGGAATATGCTTTATGCAAAAGGTCTATTGTAAGGTATCATTACAAAGGTTATAACCTACTGAATATATTCCTCCTATTTGTACATACGTCTTATTCTTGTATCTGAAGCTAGAAATATGAAGTATAACTCAGAGGTCCTACTGTAATTATACAAAGTGTGGGCCATTAATAATGGTTTAGAATCTTCATGGTTCCCATTGACTAGGCAACTGGTTGTAAATGTCTCTGTTTACTTGTAAGCCGTCCTGTGTTCATGTGAGCCAGCCCAGGAAGAATGGAGGCTGGGGTCTCACAGGACATGTGAACATGTCACCTGATACCGGAATCCATCTTAAACCTGGTACGTTTCCATTTAGAAGGAGGGGTGGGGACCCAGAGAGACAAAAGATTCCCGCCTTGTGCCAAAGCTATAAAAGGGGGTGGAACAGAACAAAGGAGGCCCAGTCATGAGAAAACCCCTAGTTTCCACCTAAGATGTCTGCTGAAACTAACAAGGCAGGGAAAATGGGCTCAGAGGTAATCTCAGCACGTCAGGTGACAGTTCCAAGGGGGTCTCTGTGACCGAACTCGTCGCACTGTGTCAGATGTATTGTATGTGTGTTGCATATATGCATCCTGATCAAAAATGTGCAGATGGAGTTAGAAATGTTGTATGTATTGCATCGCCTTAATAGAACAAATCCTATTATCAGATGTTCTTAACCAGTTACACAGATTGCAGCCCTGAAGAGAACGAGTGGACAGGGTTATTGTTATGGCTAAGGCTCTCACTTTCACAGGACTGTCATAAAAACTGACCAAAGGACCTAATGGAGCCAGCTTCAGACTCTGAACCTGGGAGGCTTTGTTGTTAAAGAAAAAAAATCGCAATTATTTGGACTCATAAACCTTTGTTTATTTAGATCTGAAAGAACTGGTTTTCTGAGATATGAGATATCATAGAATATCAGGGTTGGAAGGGACCTCAGGTCATCTAGTCCAACTCCTTGCTCAAAGCAGGACCAAGCCCCAGCTAAATCATCCCAGCCAGGGTTTTGTTAAGCCTAATCTTAAAAACCTCTAAGGAAGGAGATTCTACCACCTCCCTAGGTAATCCATTCCAGTGCTTTCCTAGTGAAAAAGTTTTTCCTAATATCCAACATAAACCTCCCCCACTGCAACTTGAGACCATTACTCCTTGTTCTGTCATCTTGTTACCACTGAGAACAGTCTAGATCCATCCTCTTTGGAATCCCCTTTCAGGTAGTTGAAAGCAGCTATCAAATCCCCCCTCATTCTTCTCTTTTGCAGACTAAATAATTCCAGTTCCCACAGCCTCTCCTCATAAGTCGTGCTCCAGCCCCCTAATAATTTTTGTTGCCCTCTGCTGGACTCTTTCCAATTTTTCCACATCCTTCTTGTAGTGTGGGGCCCAAAACTGGACACAGTACTCCAGATGAGGCCTCACCAATGCTGAATAGAGGGAAATGATCACGTCCCTCGATCTGATATGTGGTAGATTGCATCAATTTTTCCAAATAAAACTCAAAGGGTCCCCAATAGTCTACTTTTTACTACATTTTCTCAGAAGGACAACCTCAATCTTTTATCCTCCTAGCTTCTATATAGGTCAAGGGTTACAGCAGCCCTGAAAATGGCCTATTGAAGTTTGCCTGCTAAGGATCATGAGGGGAATCTCCTGACAAGAAGAATTTGACCAACTCAAACTAGAATAAAATTCTCCAAGCAGACTTCACTGTACTAAAGGAATCAGAGTTTTAGATTATTAGTGGGTTATTAGCTAAAATCAGTCTCCATTGATTTTAGTTTGTTTGATTACAAGAACAAGCACCAGGTGCACTTTTAAAAGGTGTCTTGTGTAGCTTTAAACATGTCAAATACAGATTTTTAATACAACAAAAAATTTCCATGTTAAATATACCTGTTTCACTGTTATATTGGGTTATTGTTTTACTAGGAACGGTAAACAGCATTTCAAATGCTTTGTTCATATAGGGCTTTCAAGAGAGTTCAATAGTTATGCTTAAACAAACCTAGTTGTGGCTGAAGCTGGTTCGGACCAGACTGTATTATAACCTAGATCTAAACCATGCTATAGTGCACCAACCAGGCTGGATCTTTTCTAACCATGTTAAAATCCATTTGAGACACAGCTATTAAGCACTTTTGTTAAACTCAACTGAAGGCCCTGTGTAAAATAGGTCAAAATTTAAGTGTACTGTCACAGAAATGGACAAAATGCTAGATTTTAATGTAAAATTAGCATATATGTTTAGAGCCTGATCTTACAAAATTAGCATATATGTTTAGAGCCTGATCTCGCTCAGCATCCTCAACTCCCACTCCCATTGACTTCAATGGGAGTTAAGGGTGCTCAGCACCTCACAGGAGGTACACTGTAGGATAGATTATGTAATAGGCAAATATATTGGTTTTCCTTTATAATACTACCATTCCTTTTGTATTTTATTTCAACATGCAGGATAGTTAAGATAAAAACCTTTGTGACACATATTGAACCTGACACCAGTCATACAAGGACCTAACGTTCCTGGGCGCTTGCACAGCAACTCTGTGCTCCTTTTAAAATTACAAACTGAAACGCAAACATTTTTCTGCATGTTTTCTAACAAGGATCTTCTTGACTTCATCAAAAGGGTTCAGAGCTTTTTCTCTCAGTGAACTGGAATTCTCTGTAATTAAAAATATCAAATTATATTACTGTAAGTTTCATGTAGTGTAAGTTTGGGATTTTTCTTTCCAGACTCAGCAGCTTGTTAATAGATTTGTTTGTGCCTCAGAGGTTTATATCTCTGAAGTGAAAGGAGATTAACTGATCAGCAATCAAAAATTGGTTGGATGCTAACAGCAAAAAAGTCTGAATTTATGTCTTTGTCAGTTTTGTGAGAAGAAAAAATATTGTATTTGGACAGAGCAAAACAAAAAAGACATCCAAACAGCTTGTGGAAAGTCAGAGTAAACTGTTCCCTTTGACATCACTGTGAATTTTGTGAGAGCAAGCACAGCAAATATGGGCCTGTTGACTGATGCTTTGCAGTTATGTTAAGAAAAGGAAAAATACCAGCTTCCCAAGAATTACCGGAAAAGATATGATAATCTTTGCAAGAATTAAAGTCAGGAATACTATTTTTAGTAATGCACTAACATCAACAAGTAACAGATATTTCAGTTAGCAAAATATAAAGTAAAGTAAATAAAATATATTTGATTATGTAACTGGAAAGTTAGGAAAAATATTAAAAATAAGATATGTCTGTCTGTGAAAAAAAGGAAACAATATAAATGAAACTGAAAACAAGTTGCATATAAAAGTGTCAAGCTATAAGCAAATAACAGAACCAGACAGTATCAAAATCAGACTATCGCTAGCTGCAAGGCATTCTCCAGATTGGGGTAACCTATGCCTTTCTGTTACGTTCTGAATAACAATTGCTTAATAAACTCAATCAAGCTGAGTTATCTTAGGTCTCTTTAATTATTAACTAAATTCAAACCCATAAAATATACTTCTTATTATCAATTCTTATCAATTGACTATTATTAGGTAACAGGTCTATAGAGTTTAGAATGGGGGCAAATACTATACCAGAGAGGTTCTTGAACTGGGGTCTGCAGAAATAGTTCATTGGTCTCCAGAATACCACTTGTGTCTTTAGCAAGCTCTGTTAAGAAAAATGTGAATTAATGCTTTAAACATATGACTCGCATAGTAGCATTTAAGCAAAGAAGGCTTCTGTGAACATCCTACAGTACAGTACATAGTAATAGGGGATAAAAATTCTTAGATTGTAACAAGATGGCATGCACATCACTAAATGGAATGCAGGAAATGCAGAACTAAATTTTTTCCCAAACCAAAGACATTAATGCACCATCTCCTTAGCATTATAATCATGATGTTTAGAAAAATCATTGAGTCCCATCTCCACATCAGTGCCAGGTTTGGAATTGACTGAAATCAGACAGAACAGCACCTCTGACTCAATAAAAAGAAACTTTCAACATATACACTTTTGCTCACTCTCTCTTCATATTAATACTGTATCCATATCTGTATGCAACTAAAATGGAAATAACTAAATTATTATTAGTAATATTTACAGTATTCTTGTCAGCAAGTTAAGGAAGTATGGGCTGGAAGAATGCACTATAAGGTGGGTAGAAAGCTGGCTAGATTGTCGGGCTCAACGGGTAGTTATCAATGGCTCCATGTCTAGTTGGCAGCCGGTGTCAAGTGGAGTGCCCCAAGGGTCGGTCCTGGGGCCGGTTTTGTTCAATATCTTCATAAATGATCTGGAGGATGGTGTGGATTGCACTCTCAGCAAATTTGCGGATGATACTAAACTGGGAGGAGTGGTAGATACGCTGGAGGGGAGGGATAGGATACAGAAGGACCTAGACAAATTGGAGGATTGGGCCAAAAGAAATCTGATGAGGTTCAATAAGGATAAGTGCAGGGTCCTGCACTTAGGACGGAAGAACCCAATGCACAGCTACAGACTAGGGACCGAATGGCTAGGCAGGAGTTCTGCGGAAAAGGACCTAGGGGTGACAGTGGACGAGAAGCTGGATATGAGTCAGCAGTGTGCCCTTGTTGCCAAGAAGGCCAATGGCATTTTGGGATGTATAAGTAGGGGCATAGCGAGCAGATCGAGGGACGTGATCGTTGCCCTCTATTCGACATTGGTGAGGCCTCATCTGGAGTACTGTGTCCAGTTTTGGGCCCCACACTTCAAGAAGGATGTGGATAAATTGGAGAGAGTCCAGCAAAGGGCAACAAAAATGATTAGGGGTCTGGAACACATGAGTTATGAGGAGAGGCTGAGGGAGCTGGGATTGTTTAGCCTGCAGAAGAGAAGAATGAGGGGGGATTTGATAGCTGCTTTCAACTACCTGAAAGGGGGTTCCAAAGAGGATGGCTCTAGACTGTTCTCAATGGTAGCAGATGACAGAACGAGGAGTAATGGTCTCAAGTTGCAGTGGGGGAGGCTTAGATTGGATATTAGGAAAAACTTTTTCACTAAGAGGGTGGTGAAACACTGGAATGCGTTACCTAGGGAGGTGGTAGAATCTCCTTCCTTAGAGGTTTTTAAGGTCAGGCTTGACAAAGCCCTGGCTGGGATGATTTAACTGGGAATTGGTCCTGCTTCGAGCAGGGGGTTGGACTAGATGACCTTCTGGGGTCCCTTCCAACCCTTATATTCTATGATTCTATGATTCTAAATTTATGAAAAATTTTATACTATTAAACCAAACCAGATTGAGCCCCACTTTGCGCCAAGGCTGCATGTCTATTTTAGGAGGTTTGTCCAGTATTATTGAAACAATTTAGTTATTCCAGTTAAAACATTCTCAGATAGACCAGGCCTAAGTTATCAGCTCAGATTCTTTCAGCAGCAGGCTGGGAATAAGTAAGCCTAAGGGAATTGTAACTGGGTATAAGGGAGTCTAACTTCACTGCCTTACATATGTAACCCTTCTGCCCATCAGAGTTGGCAGCAACAAGGGCTCGGTTCAGTATGTAGGGGTTCCATTCCAATAACACAGTGCAAAACCGGCTCGAGCCCCTACCCAGGGACCTGGGACAAATATACACCACCCCTGCTGGGCGCCTCTAAGAGGCAATACTTCCCCTCTTGCAAGCACAGAATCTGAGTGTAGCAAAAGCCTTTTAATAACAGAGAGAAACAATGTGGCATTATGTTGGGGAAACACCACCAACAGGATTCATAACACAACCTATGAACCAAAACCCACCCAAAGTAAATTGGGCCGTGTCCTTTCCCTTTGGTTCTTGAGTCCAGCAACCCAAAAGTCACCCAAAGTCCCAAAAGTCCAACAACCCAAAAGTCTCTGTCCCTGGTCAGTGCAGCCCCAGAGTTCAAAAGTTTATCTGCAGAGTTTTACCTCCCAACCTGGGTGGAAATGGTGGGGGGGGGTGTTAAGGGGCACCTTACTTGGTCTGAAGCCGACTGCCCAACCTGTCTGTGGAGCTCCTCTCCGCTCTGCTCCACCAGCCACCCCACAAATTGCTCTGCTCTGCCAGCCACTCCGCTCCTCCAGCCATCCCACAAACTGCTCTGCAATACATCTTCAGCCCCCCCCGCTACTTAACACAACACTCAGCAATTTCAGCTCTTAGTAATTTTAGCTCTTTAGTGATTTCAGCTTGTAGTAGGGGAGCCTCAGTGCTGGTACACCATTGGCCCAAAGTGAATTCAGCTCAGTAGCCTGCAACTAGACTCGTAGTGAAAACAAAACTAGCTCTGACATTCCACTAGGGAGAGAGGAGAAGGTGCAATTGGCATGTAAAGCCCTCATCAAGGACCCATACCACCAAGTATTACCTTTCCCCAGCCTCTCTCAATTCACTGGGTTTTGGAACCCATGACCCTTGCCTAGCGAGTGCTGCTTAGTTGATGGTGAATCCCTCCATCATTAAAAAAAAGGCCAAGTACAGTTCCACTGTCCTTGATTCACATAATCAGGATAATAACAGTTTATTCTTCCTGCCCCAATAACAGAGAAACTGGGGCTCCTTCAGCAGCCAAAGTGACCATCTAGGCAGGGGTGTGTGCCTATGCAAATGAGATCAGCCCCTGAAGTTCTTTTCCATAACCCACAATTTGCCACCAGATGTCAGGATAGAGCTCATCTTAACTCTGCTTACACATTTAATAATTTTATTAAGATGATGTTGAAGTAAAAAGAAAACGGTACAGAGTTTAAGCATAGAAGTTTCTGGTTATCAGGGAATAAGGTACAGATTATCGAGGGGTGCGAAATTCGGTTTAGGAACGGGTGGTATAAGGAATACATAATCTGCAATCTCCCCAATTGGGGATAAAAGTTTAACGGGTCAAAGTACAGACATTGAAATATGGGGGTATGTTGTTCATATAATGGCTATGTTCAGGTGTGGAGTATAATGAGTGGGTACGATGACGAGGATGGATTTACCCTCATTTGGTGGGATTTAATGTTCAGTGAGTTTATGGGTCCAGTTCATATGGTCCAATCGAAAAAGTCTCTCAGTCCCTTTCCCATAGTTGATGCATGATATTGTAATGGCTCACACCTCCTGGTACTGTCGGTGGCCGGTGATGTGTTCAATGTAGATGTCCCTGGACCATCGGATGGTGTCTGAGACCATGAGGCACTGCATGAGCTGTGCATAATGTCGACCGATCCCACAGGTCCACAGAACATGCTCATTGCAGGGGTCCCAAGCGCCCAGGGCTCAGACGATCAGGGCATCCATCTGCACCTCGTAGCCCTTTGCTCTCAGGGTGTCTGGGCCTTGTCGGTGACTACCACGTCAGGTCACAACTGGCTGTCAGTCCTGGGGATGGTGCAGTTCACGGTGACCTCCCCCAGGCGCGGTGCGATGGCTTTCACCAGGCGGTTCTGGATGGCGTTGTGGCGCAGCTGCCAGGCTCAGGAGTGGGGCTTGCAACTGCACAGGACGTGGGGCAGGGTCTCGTTGGAGTAGCCGCACTTCCTGCAATGCTTGTCTCGGTTCCTGTGGCCGACGGCTCCATTGAGCGGGATGCAGTTGAGCCGCGCATGGTGGATAAACCGCCAGTCAGTGAAACAGGTGAAGCCACCCCCGGCAAGGAAGTGGTTGCTCGCATCCCACTTGCTGGTCAGTTCAAAGGGTTTACCCTGGTCCAGTTTACGCTTCAGGGTTTCCATGTACAGTGAGTGGATGGCTGCCTTCAGGGTCCTCTCCAGCATGGCCCTGGCACTTGGGGTGACGATGGTGTTGTCGTCGGACCTGATCTGCGGCACCAGGACTCCCAGCTCCTGGCGCTCTTTGCACCACTCCCTGCGGCAGCCAATGTGCTTCCCCAGGCGACGTGTGGCATTGCAAGTGCGGGAATTACCTCTGAATTTGGCCTTTGAAGTCCGTATTCCCATAAGCAGCTGACAACACTGCATTGTAGGATTGAAACCAATAAAGGCCCTGATACATCACCAGGCAATGCCATTTTTATGTTGGCATAGCAGCACCACTGATTTCAATGGAATCACAATGTCGTAAAACTAGTAACAGAGTGGTGACGTGTGTGCATGTGTATATATGTGAAAATATAGATATATAGACACATATATTTACATGTATCTATTTATCTGACATACATGGATACCTACACAAGTGGTGGAGATACCCACATGAAAAATTATGGAATTTTGTGATAAATTGCATTTTTGTTCACCTTTGAAACTTTTGCCTGCATTTGTTCACTAATCTATTTCTGCCATTCTAACATTCTAAACTTCTGAGAAGCTTCAAAATATCACCAAAAAACTCCAGAACAGCCTGTCACAAATATTTGTATTTCCCAACAGCTTATCCCGTTAAACTGGGAAATAGTCAACTCTGGACTATTAACATATTCAAGGTCTTATACTGTATTTTGTGACCCATTAGGGCTAGAAATAGGAGCTTTATATTATTGGAAAGCTAGGAATCCCACTGACATAGAGCCATTGTTTCTAGCCCTAGCTGGTCTTGAAATACTAGATATTTAAACTGTGACATTTTAAGTACGAAAAAAGCAATTTTAGATAATTTTTAGATGTTTCTAAAATTCATTAGAATTACAGCTATAACTTTCTTTTTCTTGAAAGCCCATACAGCCTATATGGTCAGTCCCCT